AGCTCATTAAAACACATATTAAAATTTATATTTATTACAAGACAAGGGAGCGAAGATAGCTAGCTACTCACGAAAGGCTCAGTTTACAGACAACAGATTACAAACCCTTTCATTGCTCGTATTGATCTGAGCATATCCAAGTGAACACGGAATCTAAATTACCCTGAATACATCTATGATGGAAGAACTCTTTACTGGAACCTCATTTTTGTTTGGGAGTAAACATTTCAAATCTTACACTTTGCTTTTTTTTTATTACTTCTCCCTGTAAATGTTTTAGGGCAATGACAACTAGGGCTTTTGCACAGGAGACACTGAATACCATTCAGTTGAACTGATGTTCATGACAATTGCTGTTGTCATCATTACAGGTAATAAAATATTTAAGGGTTCAAAAATACTGCATGAGTTATTTATTATTTTATTTATTTACCAAATGTTTATTGAAGTCCTAAATGAGTAATTTGAACACCCACCTCATTCTCAGGGGTGCTTCTATTTTGGTGAGACTCAAGATGTACAGAAATAAGAAGCAGACGGGGTGGAAAGGGCTGAGAGGGACCTTGAAATGGCTGTGCTCTTAGATCAGGCCAGTGGGCTCCTGTTCTGGACTGAGTTCTGGACAAAGGGGACATGTCTGCAAGGAGTCTGAGCCTTCTCTTCTCCCACTTCTGGACTATCCCCGGGAGTCTGGATTCCAGGGTCTCATGCATACACGGGCCCCTACTCACCTGCCCAGGCGTGTGCCGCACAGCGGGCACACACAGGAGTGGTCCAGTGTGGCCGGACGGCGCTGTTCGCAGTGATGGTGGGCAGGAAGAATTTGCAAACAAGGGCCACCTCTCCCTGAAGTACTTTTAATACTTTCTTAGCTTATTAAGCAACTTTTACTATTTATAATATTTCTGAGGCACTCCAATTACTCTTGCCCTGGAGACCCACCAATGTTAGAGGCAGAGCAGCCTGGCTGTGGGAGTTTAGGGGAAAAGGGAACGTGGCCTTGGTGGTGTCTGGGGAGCTCCCCTGGGGGAGTGGGGCTTGGGCACGTGGAGGTGGGAGAAGGGAAAGAGGAAGAGCAACTTCGGGAACAGGGACCATCACACTCAAAGGCATGGAGACAAAAAGTGTCGGCTCATGTGTGGGGAGTCTGGCTTTCCGTGAGGAACCCAGACGTGGAAGAATAGACACTAGGTTATAAAGGGGGAGGAGGCCAGGTCACGCGCAGTGTGAAAGGCTGGGTCGTGTTGAAGTGTCACGTATTCCAGGCACAGGGGAATCCTTTCAGATGGACTGATGTTCACAGCATCTGATCCTCATGCCCGCGGATGAAAGGCTTCGAGGTTCCCTCTGCAGACAATGGGGCGTCATTGAAAGTTTGAGGGGTTTTGATCATGTCCACTCTGTAAGGCGAGTGCTCTGGCTTGCCATGAGGATGGCAAGTCTGGGAGACTGGCAGGGTGGACATCAGTGAGCTGGCAACAGAGAAAGGATAGCAGGGAAGACACAGAGGAGACATTTGGGAGATAAGAGGGAGAAAGAAATAGGTAGAGAAGGGACTGAAGACTCACTGCAAGACTTTGTGCCTGGATTTTTAAGAGGCTGGTGATGCCATTTAATGAAAAACATGATTTTTATTGAAAAATGGAACATTTTGTTCATGGTTTGAAGGCAGAGCTGGCAGAATTGCTGAATGTGGGGTATGAGAGGAAGGAGTTAAAAATGACTCCAAGGACATAGTCAATAATATTGTAATAACTATGGTGCCAGATGAATATTGAAAATATCACAGGGAACAATTGGTAAAGTGTTTGATTGTCTAACCACTATGCTGTACACCGGAAATCAATACAAAATCATATTGAATGTAAACTACAATTGAAAACTAAAATTTAAACTAAAACATGGTTCCAAGTTTTCGGAGCTGAGCAGGTGTAGGGCCAGAGCTGCCGTGAGAGCGAAGCTGGGAAGACCGTCTTAAGGAGGCTCTGCTGTTGTGGAAGGAGCCTTTGGTGGCTGCTGGACCACCTTCGCCATCCAACACAGAAGTGTGACTCAGTCCAACCCTGAGACCCTACTGGACACCTCAGTGGGTGGCAGGTGGAGGGGCTGAGTTGGGAAGCAAGAAAGACATTAGGTTTGGCTAAGTTTGTACCTGTTCGTTAGCCATTTGCATAAATACCTGCTTGTTTTATAATATGTTGTTGGTAGATAGGTTGTGCCTAGAGGAAACAATGAAAATCATTAATGACTTTGATCAATAATTGTTGAACAGTGGCCTGGCTGGTGTGGCTCAGTGGTGGAGTGTTGTCCTATAATGGAAAGGTTGCAGATTGGATTTCTGGGCGGGGCACACACCTACGTTGGGGGCTCATCCCTGGGCCGGGTGCACATAGAGGCAACTGACTGATGCTTCCCTTGCACCGATGTTTCTCTCTCTCCCTTCCTCTATCTAAAAAAGCAAAGGACACTGTCCTCAGTTGAGAAATAATAGTAGAACATCCACTAGATATATGGCACAGGAGAGTGCAATGTGAGGAGTAATAGAATGTAATCCATGCATCTCTTTGATAAACAGATTATCTCCATTTCCAAGGTCATCATCTTGTTCTGACTTAAGTTTTTTAACAGCTTTTATTTTTTATAAAGATTTTATTTATTTATCTTTAGAGAGGAAGGGAAGGAGAGAGGGAGAGAAATATCAATGTATAGTTGCCTCTTGTGCGTCCCCTGCTGGGAACTGGCCTGCAACCCAGGCATGTGCCCTGACTGGAAATCGAACCATGATCCTTTGGTTTGCAGGCCTATGCTTAATCCACTGAGCTATGCCAGCCAGGGCTGACTTAAGTTTTTTAATAGCTCATATGGCCAATGTCTTGGAGGTACCCAACGGTATAACAGACATATCTAAATTGCTAATGAACTTTTCAAAGGAGAACACAGAAGTAAACACGCCAGCTCTACGGTAGGACAATGACTGGGTCTAGTTTATCTTAATACTTACAGGCTTTGCACTGGCATTTCCTGGACTCTGGGTCTAACACTCTATTCTCTATCCTCCAGGCTTTCTAGACACAACCATTTGAATGTTAAGCTTATTCTTCTTTCATATTCTGTGTTTATAAGGCTCAACCCAAACCATTTTTGAACTGTAAGATACTCTTAAACTGTAAATTACAATTTTGGCCAGTTGCACAGCTTGGCACACACCCCTCTGCACGCCCTCAGTTCCTCTGCTTTTCTGCAAACCTTGCTCTGTAGGGATTACCCAGGTCACAATTCCCAGGGTGGAGAATGTCCCAACCACCGCCCAAAGAGCTCACCCTCTCCAGGTGGTCAGGAGAGACAGGGCAAAAGGCTCCTAAAATGGCGTTATAGAAGATGGGGCTACAAAAGGAACAGAGGTGTTGAGCTTTAAGAGCAGCATTTTTATTAAAAAAATATTTTTCGATTAGTGTTAACAGTATTATTTTGTATTCGTTTCAGGCATGCAGCATCGTGGTTAGACAATCCTATGCTTTACAATGCTCCCCACATTGCCAGTTCCCACCTGGTGCCACACATAGTTCTCCGGACATTATTGACTGCAGTTCCCTATGCTGTACTTCACCTCTCTCTGATTACTTTGTAACTACTAATTTGTACTTAATGCGTTCACCTATTTCACTCCCCTTTCATAAACCCCTTCCTCTCTGGCAACCACCAGCCTGTTCTCTGCGTCTGTGAGCCTGATTCAGTTATGTTTAATCGTTTATTTTGTTGTTTAGATTCCACGTATAAGTGAAATCATACGGCATTTGTCTTTCTCAGAAATCAGCGGCTTTAAAAGTAAACAAAGACTGTCATCGAGACAGTGACTGTGGGCTCCAGAAGGTGGAAGCCTAAACTTGGGCTTGGAGTTAACCGCGGGAGGCGCAGCCTTGGAGACTTAAAAGAAAGTTCACCGCCAACTGTTGGCTACAAAAATTGTTGCTCAGCCAAGTGACGTTTCCCTCCTCAGGGGCTCACCTCCACCTGGACGTCTGCTGACTGTTCGTTTCACTCACGCCACGTACTTGAGACAAAAACCAAAACTACACACTCCAAATAGAGACCCTTTCTTCCTTCCCCCACTCTCCCCCTCCCTTCCTCTCTCTCTTTTCTCGCCCTCTTATTTTTCTTTCCTATGTACCTATTTTTATTTCTATTGTTTTTGTTTACTTCAATACCTTCTCCTCCCTTTGTCAGCAAATACCCACCCCACCCACCCACTCAGCCGCTCCTGCTCCTCCTTTTCGTCTCCAGGCGACTCGCTGGTTCGTCTCACCGCTCTCTTCCTTCGCACCCGCCCCCTCGCCAATTCTCATCCTCACTGCCCCCTTCAAGCTTCGCCCGCCATCCTTCACTGTCCCAGGCGGGGACTGCCGCACCCCAGGTCTAGCCTCTCCCGGGCGTCTAGACCCGGCGACCTCCCCGGCGCTGTGCCCCTGTCGCCCCTGCAGCGCCTCCCCGAGGCCCAGCCGCACGCCAGCCGACCGGAGGCTTCCCGGGTGGCCCGGCCTCCCTGCAGTGGCACCGCCCCTGCCCAGCTCCGCCCCAGGCCGCCGCTCTCCGATTGGCCTCCCACTCCCTCCTCCCCAGCGCCTCTCCTCCCCTTCGCCCAATGGGCACCGCCACCTGGTCCAAAAATTCCCCCGAGGGCAACGAGTGGCTTCGCAACCACCAGCTTCTTCCCGGTGGTGTTCACTGCAGTGGGGGGGCTGGGGGGGGGGCGCAGAGAAGGGAGGGGGCTCGGGGGAGGGAGGAGGAGGAGCAAGGTGTTGGAGAGAAAACTTCTGAAGGAACAGGAAACCTGCTGGGGAGGCCGCTGCGGATATTGGGGCGCCAGCGCTGCGCTCATAGCTGGGTGTTCGCGCCTGCGACTTCGCTCCTGCCAGCTCCCCCGGCGCGGCGCAGGGCGCAGCCGACAGTCGAGTCTCTCCCGCCGAGCCCTCTGCAGCGGTCCTCGGTGCAGCAGTCGGTCCTCGGTGCAGCAGTCGTGCGCTCCGGTCCACCTCTGCCGCGGCGGCTCCCTGGAGAGGGCGGGAGGCGCCGAGAAGAGGAAGGACGTCTACTTCGGAGCATGAAGCAGTATGTCTGATAAAATGTCCAGCTTCCTCTACATAGGGGACATTGTGTCCCTGTACGCGGAGGGCTCGGTCAACGGCTTCATCAGCACCCTGGGGTAAGCCGAGGGCGGGCCGGGCGGCGTCTCCCGGGAGCGCGTCCGCTTCCTCTGCTCGCCGCTGCCGCCGAGCGTGGCCTGGCGGCGGGGCAGGGTCTGTGCCCGCGGACAGCGCGTGGCGCTGGGCTCGCCTGCGCGCAGGAAGCGGCCGGAGAGGCACGGTTTTCTCATGAAAGTTCATCAGCTTCAACTCAGAGGCACATCCGAAAAGGAGGAAGTGATTCAGAAGCCCTGAGACAGGCCCAGAGAAGAAGTCTTCGCTGGCTTCTCTACGGGCTGTTTGATCTCAGTGTTTATTTTCCCCTAAAGCTGAAAGAACGCACCTCCTCTCCCCATCTTTTCTCGCCGCCGCTCTCAGCCCCTGTCCCTCAGGGACAGGTTTGTGAGAGCTGGCGATAAAGGTCCGTGGCCTTGGACATGAAACTCAAGCAAAGTAGTGAGCCAGAGTGTGGCTTTGCCCTGCGGGAGCAGCAGCCCGTGCCCTCTTCCCTTAAGTAATTTCCTTTTGGCCTTGCCAAACTGGGACTCGCCCCACTGTCAGGGGCAGCAAGGGCCCTCCGGGGCTGTGGGACCCTAAGAGGTAACGTCGGCCTCCTGAGCGCTAGAACTGAGACCGCCTTTCTCCACTTCCCCGGGCCTTGGCCCACCGAAATGCCGAACCTCTCTTTGGGAACTTAACTAAGAGCTGTGTTCTTGAGATTACAGTTGATTTATGAATGGGACACATCACATGTAACAGTGCGTAGATGGTGAAATAGGATTTCCTTGATTGCTCGATTTTCTCTCTGTTTTGATTGAGAATACCACCAGTTCACAGTTTAAATGCACACTGCAACACATATCGGTGCGCATATGTTTCTTGTGTTACCCCACGGTCTCTGCACGTAGAGTGCTGAGTCTTAGAGAATTCAGGCTGCCGACTGGTGGTGGCTGGTCACTGTTTTCTGCTGTTCAGTTTTAGGGTGCGTGACTCAACCTGCAGTGTCCCTAGACTGTGACTTCCAGCCGTGTTAGAAGGAGTGGTGCCTGCTTGACAGGGGACGTGGAACGCACCAGAATTTCCACCGTTTCTGTTATTTGTGCGTCCGCCCACCCCCAGTGGGTAAAAGAAGGAAGATTTAAGTTTAAACTCTTTAAGATCAATGTCATTTACTTGTGAAACTGAAATGTAGGGGAAAAAAACCCCAGCGTGGCCAGCGCCGATGCTGAGTTTGTAAGTCTTCTGAAAGAGTTCATAGGGTAAGTTCAGTTTTTGGGCCCCCCGCCAACATTTTGCAGAGGAACTGCGCTGCATTTCACACTCCTCCACAAACTCTGCCTGTGGCAGTTAAGCAGGGGGTGCAGCAGGGTCAGAGTGCCCGGGGTCAAGTCCTGGCTTCTCCACGTGTGAACCTTATGACCCAGGCAGGTTACATAATTGCTCTGTATCTCAGTTTCCTCCCGTTAGAAAATGAAATAGAATAAATGGGAACGATAATGGTTTCTGTCTCAGAGGGTCGTGGTGAAGAAGTTAATATATGTAAAGTGTTAGCATGGTACCTGTCGATCAGTAAACACTTATATAAAGTGTTAATTGTAACTGAGCAGTAGTTACAGCTGTGGACAAAATAGTAAAAAAGAATTAGGAATAAAGTGTAAGACAGACAAACGGAAGGTCATGTTTTTATAGTGTATGGGTAACTATACCCATATATATAATGCACATATACATATATAATGCATATATATAATGCACATATGCATATGTAATATATATTATGCATGTGCATTTAGAGCTTGGGATGGGAAATCAGGAAGCTTCAACTTTAGCAGTTGAGGAGTTTGCCCTACTGGTTTTAGAGATGGAGAAGCTGAGGGGAGGAGACTTACCCAGGGAGCCGAGGACGTTAATGCCAAAGCCGGACCTCTAACCCTGTCTCCAGATCCTCACTGCAGTGCTAGTCTCTTTGGTGGCACATCATAATCTCTAAGCCTCGGGTTAAAAATAAGCTTGACCTTTCTCGTAGCATATATGTTCGTAGAAATATTTCTTATTTGTGTTCAGTAGTTCTTGATGGTGTTTTGAAAACAGTTTCCTTAGAATGTGTTTGTGCAGCATTATTTTTCTGTTAATAAACTAAACTGAGTCTTGTCGAGGTTAGGATGACAAGACCTTTGTGCAGCTGATTCTGGAATGAGGAAGGATCTTTAGAAATGCTGTATTGGTGAAGCTTGGTGTTTTGATTTGATGTTATTTTTCTTTAACCTGTGGAACCTCATCACCCTCAGATTTTTAGCAGTTAAGCCCACGGGAGTTGTGCCATGGCCCATAAAATGTTCTGTAGGCAGAGCAGCAATTGGTGGAGATTTATTTTGCAAGTCGGTTTTAGGGCTTTGAAATGAAAGCAGCATGGTAGTTATAGCTTATATTGCCATAGGATCAGTATTTATATATTTTCTGTACCAAGGATAGAGTGCATACTTTTACTCGAATTTCCTTGCTCTCCTGTTAGTTGAAGATCTTGGTCTAGGTCTGCTGCTAATTAGCCGGGTGACCTTGTTCATGTCATTTATTCTTTTTTTTTGTATCAGCTTGTCTTTGGAGACTAAGGACAGTATATGCTGTGTCCATCCCCTAGGGGTATTATAGAATTGAATGAAAAAGACAGAAATGAAAGATTCCAATTTTTTTTACAGTTACTAGGAAAATACACATTATGCTTATATTTTTGTGGCCCTTAAATTTCTTCAAAACGTGTGTGATTTGTTAAAGTGAATCAGGAGCTGGGTCGGAGACATTGGCATTGTAGCTAGCCAAAAGTGTTTGTTCCACTTAATATTAAAAATGCAATGAAAGAGCTAAAAATGAGGCTTAAGGTTTCTGATTTTATTTTAGATCTTTATCTATTTGACATTTTTGACAGCAGGATGGTTTTTTAATTTTAATTTTTTAATTTTTATCCTTACCTGAGGACATGCTTCTTGATCTTAGAGAAAGGGTAAGGGAGGGAGAGGGAAGGAAGGAGAGATACATGGATGTGAGAGAGAAACACCCATTGGTTTCTTATCCCTCACACCCCGACTAGGAAGAACCCAGCTGGGAATTGAACCTATGACCGTCCAACTGAGCCACACCTCCCGGGGCAGGATGTTTTTTTTTTTTAGAAAAAATTCAACATAGGAGGATAATTAATAAGAATACAGTTTATATATTTCAAGGTAATTAATATTTGTCTGCAAATAAATTTCACCTGATTTTTAACATTGACATGTAAATAAATTTGGGAGACTATACATTGTTATTATTTAGCTTGGGAAATTTTTGCAATAAGGTAACACATTTTTCAGCTGAAAAAATTCACTGAGTTTTACTATGTTAGAGTTTAGCAGGCCCTCCTTAAAGGAGGGATTTTCTTGGGCCCTGTAATGTAGCTCGTAAGTGTGGTTTCTCAATCTGTGTGAAATTAAGAAGCTCCAGTTGCAAAGATTTGCATTTTCCCTTTTTCCTCTAGTTATTCTTTAACTAGTATTTACCTGATGTTTCTGAATCTTGAATTGTTGCAAACTCAAGTATTATTCTCCCTGTTGGACTAGGTGCAAGAGGGACCTGCTTTGTATTTTCTAACTCAATTTTTTATCTAAGGATCTATTTTGGAACACTTACGTAGACTTCAGGAAAACTACTTTGAATTTTACTGAATGAAGATGGTGAATATATTTTAAGTAAATGAATTTTTTGCTACTGGTACATTTTAGGTGTATAGTTTTTATTTTTCTTTTAAAAGGGAAGGGGGAAGGAGGAAGGTTTCGAATGCGCTGTACGATTTCCAATGCAGTATTGATTGTCCTTTTCCCCTCCATTATCTTTATACTGAGATTTACTTCCCTGGTTGTTGCCACATCAGACACTCCACATTTCTGGGTACATCAGTTTGATCAATGATCAGGCCCACACCGTGGCAGTGAACATAGCAGGATTCCCAGGATGAGTGGGATAGTGGAAGCTGTGAAAGGTATATAATTCCTTCATTGTCTCTTCTCTGCAAGGTTGAAAGGTTAGTAAATGACAAGTGTGCATATATGTATTGGGATGTGTGTGTGTTTATACACTTAAGTGACTGCTGCCTTTGGCTTGACATGTTTTCTCAGGGTCTACCAAGAGTCAGCATCCACTAATTCAGGTCTGAGGAAACTGTTAGGTGACCACACACTGAGGCAGTGACTGCAAAGTGTCATAGTGGTCTCACCAGCCATCAGAAAACTTTGGTCAACTGCATATACAACAGTGGTCCCATAAGATTATAATGGAGCTGGAAAATTCCTATCACCTAGTGACTTCTTAACCATGGTAGTGTCTGAGTGCAGAACATTACTCATGTTTGTGGTGATACTGGTATGAATAAACCTACCACACAGTCAGTTGTATAAAAGATAACCTGTGAAATTACAGCATAGGTCGGAGCAGCCAGGTGTGTGTACGTGCAGTTTGTGATGTTCGGATGAGGAAATCACCTAAGGACGCAGTTCTCAGAAAGTGTCCTTGTCGTCAACAGGCACATCTCTCTGGCCCCTTAGCCAGAGGGATTGGGGCCCTCGTGTTTACCTTGTGCTTGATTTTCACAAGTTCAGTGAACTTATCAATTCCTTTGTTTCCATGGTCAAAGATGGACATTAGGTAGAGTGATTGTGGGTCGCACAGCCTATAACTCCAGTGCAATTCCTTCCATGAACAAAACTGTGTAAATGGTTACATTTTATAGTTCTCAATTATAGTTCCGTAAATTTCCCTGCCTGATCTTTTCTCTGGGTTAAATTTTTTTTTTTTACAGCCAATGTGATTTATTGAGGCACTGCTTTTGAAAATGCCTTTACAATGACTCAAACAATAGACCCCATTATACATTTATTTTTTTCATAAAAGATAAATTATTATCAGAATATTTGAGTAACTTGACAAGGCAAAGAGTTATTGTGAGATGACCACAAGAATTTGAATTCAGACCCTTATGAATTTGAAATCC